CTTTACCTCACAGTGGACTAAGCAGTCCATTCTAGGCCTAGTTATGCAAGGAGGCAGTTTTAATATAAGATGCAATTTTACCTGGCATCCACAATCGTTTTCGTATCAGTCATATTTTAAAAGCTGTTGTGTAAAATATTTATTAGATTAATTCTTGGGGTGTCAGCAACACTGGCAAAGCTAGCATTTATTGTCCCAGTCTAAGGAGGTGGTACTGAATAATCTATACCACACATCAGGGCTGGTGTAAGAAATGCTGATGCTTCTCACGTATCAGGGCCCATTATACTGACTCTCCTCCCACCATTAATCCTTCCCTTCACATCATCCAGAATTGGTGAGAAGTCAAAATACGTCCAGGTCCCCTTCTCCTCGTGAGATTTTCTTAATGGCTAGATTTTCATTTGAATTCATTTATTCACTGATGCAGTGTTGTAGTACCTTCTGTACTTGAGACATTGGGTATCTAAACATGAGCAGAAGCAGAATTGGAAGAATTCATTAATATCTTCAGTAATTAACAAACATCAGCAAACATAAACTCACAAAACACAATAAATGCATCAATTTCTGAGACACAGCTATACTTAAATTGGCAAAAGATGACAGAACCTTATTTTTGAGAAGAACTAAAATTTCTACACAAAAAACCATCATCCTAAACAGGCCTTCCATAGGCTGTTAACATAACAGCTAATGTGTTTCCATCACGTGTGTACAAAGATGGAAGACTATAACCATGCAGTTAATACGCCTTTTTACTGCATTTAAGATCACAGTTTCAGATTTAAATGTGGCAATTGGCAGCATTCATTACAGACAATTACATTCTCCTTTCCTATCCCATTGCCACTTTTTCTGGCTCCTAGATAGCTGAGTATCCCTTTGTTGACAGGTATAAATTGTTCACTGTCTTGTGCAGCTGCCCTCTCCTTGTAACCTGACTCTGTTGACATCCTCCCAAACTCCCTCCCAGGCCCCTCCTACCCCCAATCCTGCCCAGCTAGCAATCTGAAATTCTCTAGCCCTCGTCCTGCCAACGTGAGCCTCTCTGGTCCCTCACCACTGTCACACAACCTTCTTAACGTTCCTCCAATAGCAGGCTGATTATGTCCCTTGCTTGCTGCTGATAGGTGTACCAGTGTACTGACCTGTGATTGGTGAATCAGCTCCTCAGGTTCCATCGTTTCAACTTGAGATTTCCTTCTGATTGAATTTTCCTGGGCAATTTTTGGGCGAAAATGTCCGAGTCTCCCATATGTTCTGAGTGTTGTTATTTGGCCAATGAGCACCCCTAGATCATAGTGCCCAACTTTTGGCACCATTTTCATCTCCTCCATTCCCATTCCCAGGCAGTAAAGAGCGTGCAATGAAGGTTCACCAGATAGATCCCTGGGATGTTAGAATTGTCCTAGAGAAGAGATTGAGCAAACTGGGAGTTTAAGGGAGATATGCATGGAAAGTTCTTTACGCAGAGGGTGGTGGGTGCCTGGAATGCGTTGCCAGCAGAGGTGGCAGAGGCGGGCACGATAGCATCATTTAAAATGTATCTAGACAGATACATAAATGGGCAGGGAGCAGAGGGATACAGATCCTTGGAAAATAGGCGACAGGTTTAGATAGAGGATCTGGATCGGCACAAGCTTGGAGGGCCAAAGGGCCTGTTCCTGTGCTGTAATTTTCTTTGTTCTTTGGGCCTATATTCTCTCGAGTTTACAAGATTAAGAGGTGATGACATTCAAGCATATGGGATTCTTATAGGAATAAGTCATCAGTCTGATGTGACCAAGGTTTATTTTCTAATTACTGCTAGCTCTTGTGAAAATTAATTAACAATTTTATATTGCATGCATATTGTTTTGTAGCTTATAATGGATTGTAGAAATCAGATCGGAGTGTGTATTGATCATTGCCTTTATTGCTGAGGTAATACTTTTCCCACTCCCTCAAATTGATGACCATTGGCAGCTAAACTGGTCTTGATGATGATGCTGTTTACTCTGATCGTGATTTTCTTTCTCACGGGGAAAAATGCCTCCTAATTTCCTTCTTGTTCAGGGTAAAATATCAAACAGTTTAACAACTATATATCTCTATAAAAAGCACCATTGCAATTCCTGCTCCTTGAACCCTGAGGCAAAGAGAGATATGAAATATGGGCATGTCTATAGGTGCAAGGCTGGAGAAGCACAGTAGGTCAGACAGCATCAGAGGAATAGGAAAGTCAATGTTTCAGGCCGAAACTCTTTGTCAGGACTGGGAAGGGGGAGGGGAGCCCAGAAATAAATTGGGGGGTGGTGGTGGGGGTTGCGTAGGAGAGATGGTGATAGATGGATGCAGGTAGAGAGTTATTGTGATTAGTCAGTGGGAAGAGTGGAGCTGATAGGTGAGTAGGAAGATGGACAGGTTAGGTCAGGTTGGGGAGGTGAGGAGGAGTGGGAGGGCTGGACATGGGATAAGGCTGGGGGTGGAGGGATTTTGAAGTCAATATTCAGGCCCTTGGGCTGTAAGCTCCCAAGGAGAAAAATCAGGTGCTGTTCCTCCAGTTTACGTTCGACTTCACCCTGACAGCAGAGGAGGCCAAGGATGGACATGTCACCAGGGAGTGGGAGGGGGAATTAAAATGGATGGAAACCGGAAAGTCGAGTTGGTTGATGTGTGCAGAGCGCAGATGCTCCATGAACCAGTCCCTGAGTCTGCATTTGGTCTCCCCGATACAGAGGAGAGACATATCGGGCGCAACGAATCCAATAAATAAGGTTGGATGAAGTGCAGGTGAATCTCTGCTAGATCTGGAAGGATTGTTTGGTGCCTTGGACAGGGGTGAGGGGGGAAGTGTAGGGGCAGGTGTTGCACCTCCTGCGGTTGCAGGGAAAGGTACCAGTGTGGTGGAGGGGGTGGCGGTGAGTGTAGAGCTGACGAGGGAGTCATGGAGTGAACGGTCCTTGCGGAAAGCGGACAGGGGTGGGGAGGGAAATATCTTTTTGGTGGTGGGGTCTGATTGTAGGTGGCAGAAATGTTGGAGGATGATGTGTTGGATTTGGAGATTGGTGGGTGGTACGTGAGGACAAGGGGGACTCTATCCTTATTGTTGTTGGGGGGGAGGGGGTTTGATGGCAGACCTTGAGGTAGATAATCAATCATGATCTAGTTGAATGGTGGAACAGGATTGAAGGGCCAAATGGCCTGCTCCTGTTCCTATTTCTTAACTATCAGCATTATAATGGCGAGGGCAACGGATATTGTTACGTACGCTTGAAATATTTGACTGATACTGTGCTGGAACTTGATGGACATGATGTTAATGACATGCATCATTATGAATGTGATTTGATTTGATTTATTATTATCACATGTACTGAGGTACAGTGAAAAGTATTGTTCTGTGTGCTAACCAGACAAATCATACTTTTCATAAGTACATCAGTGTAATAGAACAGAATGCAGAATATAGTGTTACAGCTACAGAGAAGGTGCAGAGAGAGATCAACTCTAATATATAACAGGTCTGTTCATAAGTCTGATAACAGCAGGGTAGAAGCTATTCTTAAAACTGTCGGTAAGTCTTTTCAAACTTTTGTATCTTGTGCCCAATGGAGGAGGGTGGAAGAGAGAACAACTGGGGTGGGAGGGGTTTTTGATAATCTTGACTGCTCTCCCGAGGCAGTGGGAAGCATAGATGGAGTCAATGAAAGGATTGTTGGTTTTTGTGACAGACTGGACTGCGTTCACAACTCTCTGTAATTTCTTGCGGTCTTGGGCACAGCAATTGCCAGATCAAGCTGTGATAGTATAAACTGGCCACCAAGTTTGTAGGGTTAAAAGATACAATGTGAAGAACAAATCCTCAAAGTTTGATAGTTGATTCGTGCCATTCCTCCTCCAGCAGCTTTATCTAAATGGAATCTTGCAGTCAGCCTCCTCATTATTGTTAAGAACTTGGAGGATTGGTTTATTTAGTTTCCCATGAAGTACAGTGCAAACACTGATAAGTAAGAGATAGTAGGAACTGCAGATGCTGGAGAATCCGAGACAACATGGTGCACAGCTGGATGAACACAGCAGGCCAAGCAGCATCATAGGAACAGAAAGGCTGACGTTTCAGGCCTAGAC